GACTACAGCAATGGAAGGTCTTTGCCTATCGGCGATTGGCTGTCGAAAAATATATATATATATATGGTTTTTATATTTAAGAATGGCCGAGATAATAAATTCGGGGAATTATTGTTTCATTTACTTCGAAGACTGTTAATATCCCATATTCTTTCTAAAACATTGATCAGGATTTTTTTGCTGTAATTTTGCCACTTTGAATGGTATCTTAATCTGTGGAAAGAACACAGATCAGTTTTAGGTCGAGTCTGAGGGGCATCTTGAAGCCCCCGAACCAAATCATCAGGATATTCGTTCATTGAAACAAAGACTTCTGATGAAGCGGTTAACCGGCCTCAGGAATCAACTGACGGTCCTCCCAGATGTGGACCTTTTACTGACCTGTTGAGCAAGTTTTTCTTTATTAATTTGCCCGCGTTCTTTGTTCGAGGAGATATTTCTTGACGGTACGGTGACTGACTGGCTGGCTACCTGATTCAGTCGCCATATTATATTTGTGAATGTGGTATAATGGATGTTTTCATGATCCAAAGCTTATTATTAACTACATTGTACATGTTTAGTGGAAACTGCACACAGTCTCTCATTTCTCTCGGGTGTTTCTGGTTTTGGAAGTAAACATAAAGATGGTGCCTTTACCAGATCGAAAATATTTATTTGCTTTTGAACTCGCTTCTTAAATGCAATGAGTCTTTTGCTACAGTCCACTGACCACGTTACTTTTTGTCTCTAAAACCAAAAATTGAAGTATGTTATGTACATTGCATGTACCTATTTGTATTTTTGAACGAATTTTTAGTTTGTGGCAGTCGAATGTTCCTGCGAGAATCGTAAATTTCGGCATAATATTTTGCTTGTTCCTTCTCATTTCTTCACAGTCTTAGTTTCGAATGTGAGAACGATGACGTCATGGTCACTCGTTGAAATTCGAGGAATTGTAGGGAAGATTGACCTCACGGATCCAAGAATATTTGTGGCCATTAAGTTGGTAGAATAAATAAATAAAAAAGATGGAACTAGAGGAGACTTACAGCTTGTGGTTATTTCTCGTCTACTGCAGCCAATTTGAAACTAAACGTGCAATTTGTACTGAATGGAAGTCCGTCCCACTTACCGTATAGCTTGTCATGCTGGGAGCTGGTTGTTGAACTGTCACGCAATCTAGTCACGGACGATTACATAGCCGTGTGCTATTAGAAACTCTGTATCTAGTCCTGCTAGAATGTTTCCAAAATCAGAAGATTGTTGTAATCATGAGGAGACATTATGCTTACAAATTAGTTCAGTGTACCACCCTTTTTCCCCAAACATCTTTCCGAAAATAAAGGAAGACAAAAATATGAAAGAAGTTATGTCATAATCATGAACCGGTTGATTTTCGTGGTGTTTTCTTTGCGAAACTGACCATACTCTTAAATATTATTTGGACGAGCTTCGCCTTCGAAGGGTTTACGGTCATAATTTTTATTCACGATTGATTTTAACAGTAATAAATTAACATCAAGGCCAATGAGATACACAGTATCACTGAGAAATCATTTGAGCAATACGTGTTCAACGTACAGCTTTCTACTCGTCTCTCCCTGTTTTGTTCTATCTGTAAGCAAATCGTGACTTTTATTTGAATTTTGATTGATCTGGTATTCCAGACATGCTCGTAGGCTACCGAACGTTCCAGACTTCTCTCTTGTTCTATAGTCATTACGACTCTTATGACATTTCCTGTCTAATGCGTTCACGTGTTCAGTATTGGATTACGTCGTCACTAAATATCGTTAACCTTATCTGCATTCATAGTGACTC